CTGGATTTAGAAATTCCCTTTAGGGAAAAATACAGGAATACAGTTTTCCTAAAGGCAGAGCAAATCTTTTGGGCATAGATCCTCAGTGTTCTCCCCCAGGCACACACTCCAAGGGCTGTTTGTGGTGTCAGAGAATGACTGGGGCCTTGGTAGAGGCTCTCAGCAGCTATCAGGTTCTTCATTACCGAAACAGTAGCGTGAAACTTGTTGAGACAGCAAAATACTCTTGCATTTGGTGTCAATTCATAATCTCCATATGTTAGCCAGCAAAAGAAAAAAAAATCAAGGAACAGTTAGGTTCCATGTTGCAATTTCTAAAAACAAAACTTCCTAATTTTGAGTTTTACCAAACTTAGGTTTTGTTTTGCAATATTACACATATATTCTCTACTTCTTACATTGTCTTAACTTTCATACTGCTTTTAGGAAACGTCCTGTTGCATGGAGAAATTGGCCTAAGAAAGCCTGCTGTTAACATTACTGTTGACCTCCATTATGGAAGGACACCAGACTGTATTAGACTACTTGGGCGGCCATGACAGAATACCAATGACTGAGTGGTCTAAACAACAGAAATTTATTTCTCAATTCCGGAGGCTGGGAAGTCCAAGATCAAGGTGCCAGCCGGGAAGGTTTCATCCTGAGGCTCCTTCTCTTGCCTTGCAGGAGACTGCCTTCTCACTGTGAGCTCTTCCTTCTGTGCATATAGGAAGAGAGAGAGCACTCCAGTGTTGCTTATTAGGGCTTTCATCCCATCATAAGGGCCCTGCCCTAATCACTTCATCTAACTCTAAACTCCTCTTGAAGACCCCCACCTCCAAATACTATCACATTTCAGGTTAGGGCTTCAACCTATGAATTTGGGTGGCTGGTGGACGGGGGGGCGGGGGGAAGCAGGCGACACCATTTAGTCTATGGCAGGGTGTCAACCTTTGAGGCAGTCTTTCCAATCCCCAATCACATGATGTGAAATGACAACCAAGACCACAGGTTGCATTTTATTTTACTTTTTCAGGTTTTTTTTTTTTTTTTTTTTTTAATTTGAGAGAGAGAGAGTGCACATGAGGTGGGGGGGACAGAGAAAGAGAGGGAAAGAGAAAATCCCAAGTAGGTTCCACACTGTCAGTGCAGAGCCCAGTGTGGGGCTTGATTTTATGAATTGTGAGATCATGACCTGAGCCGAGATCAAGAGTCGGACACTCAACCGACTGAGCCACCCACGTGTCCCCACAGGTTGGATTTTAAACTCTGCAAAGTTTACCTCTTATCTTCCATGACTGTAAAAAGGAAAGCATATTTTAAATTATTGTCCTAGTTTTTAAAGTTTTTTATACAACCCTCTTCAAATTCTTCATTAGAATAGAAGGCAGTAGCATTCCTTTGAATTTCAAAAAGTTTCTGTCAAATGGTCTTCTACTGGAGAAAAAGAAACTCATGCTAGATACAGGAAGAAGACAACAGTAAGTTCCTCTCTGTGGTGATCTAAAAATATCACAGAATGCTGCATGTTGAAATGCATTACAAATGCATAATGACTTTCTTTTCATCTTCATATCTCCCATTATGGACTGTGATTCATACATAAGAATGCTCTGTCACTGGAAAAGCATAAAACTCAAATTTCACCATGGCATATTGCTACTAGGAAAATATGCAGTGTTAATATGCAGTGGGTGATTCTTTCTCCTTTGGCCTTTTTTTCCTTTCCTGTGTTATTACAATGTTAATTGTACATTTATTTCTAGAATAATATTAAATAATGATAGCTAACATTGATTGAATTCTTAGTCCATGCCAGCAACATGCCAAATGTTTATATTTCCTATCTCTTTTAATCCTCACCAAAGCCCCAAGAGGTAGATACTGTTATAATCTATGAAACCACACACAAAAGTTAAATGTTAAGTATTTATACTTGCCTCCCTGCTCTTCACCTTCTAGAAAGGTAGAGTCCTTGGAGGATTCTTTATTTTCCTTGGTGGGTGCTGTTGGGCACAGGAAATGAAGAAGCCAAGAGAGAGGAGGCTAAATTCAAATGAAGAGACAGAGACACTGAGGAGCTGGAGGGAGCTGGGCTGACTAAGGTCTGGAACCGGACAGTAAAGAGAAAGAGAGGGTAGAGAGGAGGGATTGGAGGGCCCTGGAAAGGGCTGGCAGGCTCCAAGAAGAGGCTAGAGAGAAAAAAGAAGAACATGTCATGGTCACTACAAAGGAGAATTGGGGGAAAGAGTGGGTTATTGGGAGAGGATACTTCAAAGTGCCAGTACATGAAATATAACTTATTCTTTCATAGCTCCAGGAAAGCCTCACTAACGACTCTGCCATATTTCATCTAATCTAAAACACCACTCCTTATAAGATATAACCAATGGCAAGGTACATCATTATTTTAAGTGCCAGGAAGGAAGGAAGGAAGGAAAAAAGGGAGGGAGGGAGGGAGGGAGGGAGAGAGGGAGGGAGGGAGGAGAAAGAGAGGGAAAGAGAGGAAGAGAGATAAAAGAAAGAAAAGTAAGACAGAGAAGGAAGGAAGGGAGGGAGGGAGGAGAAAATTACAAGTCCCCATCATTTGAAAACATGTCCTGATTTCAAAGAAACATAACAGATTATTCTGTAATCCTCTCTCAATTAGGTTTATGGGTTTTTTCCTTCTTTTTTAATGGAACATTATTTGGTGAGCCCAAATCTGAGCTGCCCAGTAAGGTTTGGCTATGTTTTGCTTACATGCATTTTACAGATAAAATTGAATCTCAGAGAAGCTAAGTCACTTACTCCTGGGCTCACAGTTAATAAATGGAAAGCCAAGATTCCAACCCAAGTTAGCTTAATTTCCAAACCTGTGCTCTCTACTTTTTAATTAAGACACACAGTCAATAGTTGACCAGTATTTTTATTCAATCTGTAGTTAGTAACAAAAATAACTTTGGAATTAAAAAATAACAGCTTTATATAACATCACTTACACGTTGTTGCGCTTCAGAACTTCTTGCTCCATCTGGGGCAAATTGTGAAAAACCATGATTTGGGCTCTGTGGCTCAAGAACTCCTTTCCCTTCAAATTATCTTGAATCAAATAAGGATAGGATGGTCAAACACCTGAATATTCATCGGGAGGGTTTAAAATCAAAGCAAATTCTGCACCTCTGCTAAGCAAACATTTTCTTTTGGAGACAACAAAAGGGAAGACCTTTCTGTGAGTCACAGATTTAGAGAAACATCAAGCCTAGGACCAAGCTCTAAGGACAAGTTCTAGAACTAAGATCAAATATATAAAATGTAAATGGAGGAGCAGAACATGAACAGGGGAAAAAGGGTTCAACCTCACTAATAATTACAAAAATCCCAGACTCTTCAATTCCAAAACAGGTACTGACAACAGGGTTTTTCCACATTAACTGGAACTTTTAACAATCTGGACCTTTGCTCACTCTGGCCCTCAATCCAAGAATGCCTCCTCCTCCCACTCCCACTTATCAAAACCCTTCAAGGGGGAATCAAAAGCTTCCTTTTCTGTAAATCCCTCCCAAATCCTCCAAGAGGATTAATGTCTTTTTCTGGATTCTCCTGTCATGATACTGGTTTTCTTCCTCCTTGGTTTACAGGTTGTTGATGAAAGACCTCCTAAGTAGATTATCAGCTTCCTGAAGACAGGCATCATTTGTTTGTTTGTTGGCTTGTTTTTAATGAAATCATACTTGTAAAGCTTGAGCACAGTGAATGACATGTAAAGGGGACCTGGTAGAAGTCCAGAGCAAAGACCACTGTAAAAGACCAGAACATGGGGTTGCGTGGGTGGTTGTCAGTTGAGCATTGACTCTTGATCTCAGCTCAGATCAGGATTTCACAGTTGGTGGGATTGAGCCCTGCACTGGGTTCTGTGATGACAGTGTGGAGGCTGCTTGGGATTCTCTCCCTCCCCCCTCCCCGCCCCTCCCCTACTCACATCCACACTCGCTCACGTTCTCTCTTTCTTTCAAAATAAATAAACATACAGAATATGCCACCCCAAATATGTCTCTTTGGTTTAAGATTTACTTTCAACTCATGTTTTTTGAGAAACAACAGACACAGCAGAAACTCTGAAAGCAGAGTAGAAGTTACCATTTTATGAAGGAAATTTACATTTATAAAGGAAATCTCCGTTTGTAAAGGTGTACCAGAAAGAGAAGGAAGACTTTAGATCACAAGAGACTTACCAATGGAGAAGGCGCTGACTTAAATCTGTATTAATAAACCTTACCGTTGTTGCCTGTACTCTTCTTGGTCATTTTCCCCATAACTTGCCTCCCCACACTTCCTTTGTTTTAGCTAACGACGGTATTTAAGCTCAAGTTCTAGCCACCCCTTTGAGTTACTCTTTCCTGAGTCTCTCCCATACATATGAGATACACAGGTTAATAAACTTTTTTTGTTTTTGCTTTTCTCTTGTTCATCAGTCTTTTGTAACAGAGGCTCCAGCCAAGAACTTAGAAAAGTAGAAGGAAAAAGGGTTTTCTTCTTTTCTCTACACCACCTACTTAATGGTTGAATCAGATGGAACCGAGAATGCAACTGCACTTTTCCATGAAACACTGGCTCCTGGTGCTGCCCCTGTGGGCACTCCAGTAGCCACTCTTGATAGCAGTAATGACAACAACAATAACAACAAAAACAACAAACAAACAAATACATTAAAAACCAAAACACTTAGTGTGTAAGGAACGAAACAAAACTTTGTGGGTCTAATGTTCTATTTCTTCTTTTCTTCAACTTTATTAAGAAAATTGTCAAACTATTGAATCAAAAAGTTGAAATGGATGATAGAATGAACTTCATATATATTCATTAGTTGTTAACACTTTTGCCTTTTTCTCTGAACAATTTGAAAATAAGTTATACATCCAGACACTTCACCACGGATTATTTCAGCATGCGTCTCCTAAAAATAAGGATATTCACCTACATAACCATAATAAGATTATCAATAATAAAAATAATTTCCTGACACTATCCAATTCTTTTCTTTTAATATGGAACACTTCACAAATTTGCATGTCATCCTTGCACAGAGCCGTGATAATCTTCCCTGTATCGTTCCAATTTTAGTATATGTGCTGCCAAAGTGAGCACTAACATTATCTAATTCTAATTCTAATTCTCCCCAACTATCCCCAAGATGTCTTTTACAACTAGATTTTGTTTTGTTTTATTTGACTAGGATCTAATCAAGGTTTATACATTGCATTTGGTTATTTCTCTTTAGCTTCATTTAAAGTAAAGCAATCCCTCAATTATTTTTATTATTTATGACATTGACTTTTTGAAAAATGCAGGCCATATGTCTTACAGAATGTTCCACTGTCTAATTGTGTGTGTGTGTGTTTGTGTGTGTGTGTGTGTGTGTGTGTGTGTGAGAGAGAGAGAGAGAGAGAGAGAGAGAGAGATGCAGTTTAATGTTTTCTTCTACCACCTGTGTTTTCTATTAAATACTGAGGTTGAGTGATTTAGGTTACAACTTTCTGGTTAAATTATTTCACAGGTGATGCTTTCTGTGTCATAGAGCATCTCATCAGAATGCACATGTCAGGTGTCTCACGCTTAGTGACTAGGTTGGACTGCATGGTTAAAGTGCTGATCAGCAGATATCCCACTCTGCAATGAGCAAATAACTTGTGGAGGGAGACCCTGTTCTGCCTTGTTCATTTCTGTAGCTCTCAGTTCCTAGCATAGGCCACACCCAGCAGATGGGTGCGTTCTATCTGGGTGCTACAAACTAGAGTGAGCACAAGCATGCAGATCTCACCAAGGCACTTCCTTTAATGGATTCTGGAATAATAGAGACCTTGCAGCTTTACGAGATAGCAGGAGGAATACCAAGAGCAGACGCTGAGGAGTAACAAGGTTTCTGCTGATGGCTCAGGCTGAGTTCCCAGACCCACACTACATGCTTGGGAGGAGCTGCCTTCTTTCAGACACTGCCAGAGGAGACTACCCAGAGCTAAGTAGAAGACAGAGAAACAAACAAACAAAAAAACTTTAAACTATCATTTCAAAGCTGGGAACAGTTTTCTGTTTTGCAACAAGTGAAGACTCAGAATCTTCCTTAGTTTTCGGAAAACCACCTTCCTAGTTCATTAATGTTATGTAAAATTTAAGCAGGGTGCACGGCAAAGGAAACAACCCACAAAACTAACAGGCAACCAACGGAATGGGAAAAGATAGTTGCAAACGACATATCAGATAAAGGGTTGATATCCAGAATCTATAAGGAACTCACCAAACTACACACCCAAAAAACAAACAACCCAGTAAAGAAATGGGCAGAAGATATGAACAGACACTTCTCCAAAGAGGACATCCAGATGGCCAACAAACATATGAAATGATGCTCAGCATCCCTACTCATCAGGGAAAAACAAATCAAAACAACACTGAGATACCACCTCACACCAGTCAGAGTGGCTAAAATGAGCAAATCAGAGAACAAGAGATGCTGGCAAGGATGTGGAGAAACGGGCACTCTCTTTACACTGTTGGTGGGAATGTAAACTGGTACAGCCCCTCTGGAAAACAGTGTGGCGGTTCCTCAAAAAATTAACAATAGAACTCCCCTATGACCCAGCAATAGCACTGCTAGGAATTTACCCAAGGGATATAGAAATGCTGAGGCACAGGAGCACATGTACCCCAATGTTCATAGCATCACTCTCAACAATAGCCAAAACATGGAAAGGGCCTAAGTGTCCATCAACGGACGAATGGATCAAGAAGATGTGGTTTATCTATACCATGGAATACTCCATGGCAATGAGAAACAATGAAATCTGGCCATGTGTAGCAACATGGATGGACCTTGAGGGTGTTATGCTGAGCGAAATAAGTCAGGCAGAGAAGGACAAATATCATATGTTTGCACGTATAGGAGGATTAGGAGGAACTTAACAGAGGATCAAGAGGGAGAAGAAGGGGGGAAATGGTGGGGGAAAGGGAGAGAGGCAAACCATGAGAGACTCTTGAATGCTGACAAAAACTGAGAACTGATGGATGTAGGGGGGAGGGGGGATGGGCATGGAGGAGGGCACTTGTGGGGATGAGCACTGGGTGTTATGTGGAAACTAATTTGACAATAAACTATTTGTAAAAAAAAAAAATTGAAGCAGGAAATGTTTGAGCTAAATTGCTTATTATAATGTAAGAGGATGTCTATGCTTTTGCATAGTCATAGCTCTTCAGAGTTTGTTCTTTTATGAGAAATCCTAATTTTGTTTGCTTATTTGTTTTGGGATGTGTTTGTATATATTGCCTGACCATGGTTTAAAAATTCTCTGCACATGAAAACTGTTGCTCATTGTGGTGGAGATGGGTGGAAGGGGCACCCCAAGAAATAGTCCGTATGTAGTTCTCACTGTTGTCATGAGGGCACCATCCACAGAGACTCCTTCAAGCTGAATGGGAGAATGTGAATAGACTGGCTCCAAAGCAACCCTGGGCATCCCTAAATGGCCAGGACATTTAAAAACACCCGTGGGACATCTGAGGCGTAGCTTAAACTCATCTAACCTGTGTATGAAAGTTAAAACATGACCTCATTGCAATGTAGTTCGATGTAGCACACACAATGCTCTTACACCAGTATGTACACATAAAACTTCTTTGAGAAAGCAGTGTGGGCATAGAAGTAGTGGACACAGAGGTAAGAGCCACCCCCATCACTGGCAGCTTTGAGAGAGAACAAAAGGGAACATGTTGGCACCAGATCCTGTCACATTTTAACAGGCAAAGACTGTCTTCTTTGGCCAGGAGTGGAGGATAACTATAGCAATATCACTAAAAATGAGTCAGTGCTAGGTAAATATCAATTCATATCACCTGATATGTTAACAACAGATCAGAATTTGGCCACATTAGGGTGGATCTCTTCAGTGGAATGAACACACTATCCAAAAGATTTCTTGATTCCTAGAATTTCTAGATACCTGACACCTCTTAGCAATAAAGTTTGAGGAACAATCCACCAATTTCCACTTATCTCAAACTAACCAAAAGCCCCCTCCCAAGTCCCCGGGGACAGGCAATGCACTTTCAGGATCCACCCCGTGCAGGTGGATCTGGGTAGCACTGGGACGAATCTTGCTCAGGCGGGTGTGGTTTACAGGGCCCAAGATCCCAAAGTCTTGTCTCCCTTAACAACTTCCTTTGTTAATTAAAAATTTTTTTTCTAAACGTTTATTTATTTTTGAGAGTGAGAGAGATGGAACGTGAGTGGGGGAGGAGCAGAGAGAGAGAGGGAGACACAGAATCCAAAGCAGGCTCCAGGCTCTGAGCTGTCAGCACAGATGCTGGTGAGCTGTCAATCACCTAGGTGTTGAAAGAGAACACTTCAGATGCCATGAAATCTACTTGCCTGCCCAGCCAGGGTCGTCGATATATGGTCAACTGTTAGTGTTTCTCTCAATTAACTAAAGTGTTTCTGATATAACTTTCTAAATAAATAAATACACTTTAAAAATTCAAAAAAAAAAAAAAAGAGTAAGGAGAAGGAATTTTCTGATCTCTATATCAAGGAATTTTTTTCCCTACTTGATAAGAAGGGCAATAGATCCAGGCTTGGTGAACCCTAAAGCTTATGCAATTTTTGTGGCCTTCTTACACCAAAGAACATAAAACTCCAAATTTACACAGTTATTTTTCTTAAAATAAGGAAGAAAATCACAACAAATTAAAAACTATATAGGGGCACCTGGGTGGCTCCACGGGTTAAGTGTCCAACTTTAGCTCAGGTCATGATCTCATGGTTTGTGGGTTTGAACCCCATGTCGGGCTCTGTGCTGACAGCTCAGAGCATGGATCCTGCTTCAGATTCTGTCTCCCTCTCTTTCTCTGCCCCTCCTCTGCTCGCGCTTTGTGTGTACGTGTGTCTCTCTCTCAAAAATAAACATTAATATATTTTTTAAATAAAAACTTTAGAATAAACTTTAGAAACACAAGAATTGTAAAACCCAGAAAAATTATCTATTTTCATAAACTGTCTGACATATCTAACACTTTTTCCCCACATTTGTTGATCCACACACTCTCTGGTTGCTACTTTGTATAACAATAAATTTGTGAAATACTTTTTTATAGAAAAAAAAGAAAAAGAAGGATAGTTTAGTCTTTCCTCTACCATGTTTGATCAAAGCTTACTTTGCAGGGTGCCTGGGTGGCTCAGTCGGTTAAGCGTTGGACTCTTGGTTTCACATAATCTCAGTTTCATGAGTTTGAGCCCTGCATTGGGCTCTGTGCTGACAGTGCAGAGCCTGCTTGGGATTCTCTCCCCTCTCCTCCCCACCTCTCTCTCTCTCTCTCACTCTCTCCCCTTCCCCAGCTCACACTGTCTCTGTCTGTCTCAAATAAATTAACTTTCAAAAAACAAAAACAAACTTGCTTTTCATTGACAGTTTAGAAATGTCACTGTCAACTTCTCCAGCTCAGCCTCACAATTCATTATTTGTGTGTCATGTATATTCTTGGATTTTTCTCAAATTTGGGGAAAACTATCAAGTTCATTTTGTACAGGAGCCACATGTAATTTCAGGGACTTCCAAGTTTTCTTGTTCAGTGAGTCATCTTATTCTTTGAGTTGACAAAACTCATTATCCAGTTTGCCGCCAATATTCTCATAGTGGCGTATGTCAATGTTTTATATCAAAGCAGCAAAAACGTAGTAAGGATCTACATAGATGTGCTTGGGAGATGCCATTTCAAACTGGAGAGAAGTATGAGCACAAGCACGCCTGGCAGAGACAAGAGTTCTCAAAATAGCCCAACCATTCCCACACCAGCAGACTCAAGAGGAAGTATGATGGGGGCGCCTGGGTGGCTCAGTCAGTTAAGTGGCCAACAACTTCGGTTCAGGTCATGATCTCATGGTTTGTGGGTTTGATCCCCATGTTGGGCTCTGTGCTGACAGCTCAGAGCCTGGAGCCTGCTTCAGATTTTGTGTCTCGCTCCCTCTTTCTGCCCCTTCCCTGTTCACACTCTGTCTTCCTCTCACAAAAATAAACTGTAAAAAAAAAAAAAAAAAGTATGTATGATGGAGGGAGAGCTGAAGCAGTAAGAAGACCCAGACCTAACTGATTGTAGTTAAA